AATTTCGTTTCATTTCGTTTCAATTTTCCGAAACTTCAAATTGAGGCTATATTAAAGAGAAGAAAAACTGCATTTATAGATGCTGAATGATTTCATTAAATCTTTTGTTCGGACTTCATATCCATTCTTAAACTTAGTTTTCAAATTTGTTGTGTGGAGAAAAAATTTGCGAAATTTGAAAATACTATGGTTTTAAAAATGGAAAAATTTTTTAGCTCAAAAAACATGAACATCAAGTATAAAAAGTCTTGTAAACAATGAAATGATAGTAACAGAGTGATAAGATGATGATAATGGCTACGATGAGATTTATCAGCAAGCGCATCCGAAATAAATAAATAAAAAAGAAAGAAAAGGTGAAGTAGTGGATGATTGTTCATAATAGAAGCCAAGAAACAATTTCAATTACATAGGTGAATGCTCCAATCGAATGTATGGGGAAAAAATTTTCTCTATTTGGGATTAGTTATCCCAAATAGAGAAATTTTTTACAAATCAGATTCATCTCTTCCAATTTTTTAACCAGTCTTAATTGCAATGTTCAAATGCTGCAGACAAAGCCCTTTTTTGTAAATTGCTTCCAATATATTATATCTGCTTACGTGCAATCTACTTTCCAATCTCCTCACGTGAAATTGTTAGAATGTTGCAAAGAACTTATATGCAAATGTCGAAATCTTATAAAGGATCTCTAGCATGGTAGTCAAACATTAGTATCTAGAACGTTGAGCCAGTCCTGCTGCATAAAAGGCTAGGGTCAGTCATCCTAGTGGTCAGTTATCAGGTCCAAAAGTTGGAGTAGTCTTTCGATCCGACAGCTCTTGCAGTTGCGAAATGCGCTGCTGAGTTACTCAATCGGACAGCTAGGGCAAAGCACTCAAGGCAACAACTTAGCTATGCATTCAATTTGACAACGATTCAAGGCGAGAAGCGGGCAGTTTGACAGTCCAACAGCATGAGCGATAGGACCACTTGGTATCCTTTAATACTTGTTACAGATTGTTCATTCCGTCCCTAATATTGCATCATTTTGATATTGTACAATATCATATAAGGCCACTATGGGTTACTATCAACACAATGGAGTTACAATAATAAAAAATAAATTACAAGTCTTTCTTCGACAATAAATTCTTTTCTTATGATATTTACACAGTGAATAATATTCATTTTATTTCTATGAATCTGATGAATTGCAGATTATATTGGGTATATTGTAAATTGTATGCATTATTGCATATACTGTAAAGAAATTTGTGTGTATTGCAAATTATACTGTAAATTGGATATATTTATGTCGTACAATGTCATGCTGTTACCATGGTATATGTTGTTTTTCACGTCGTGATAAGGCATATAGATTTCATGAATCGTAGTTTCTTTTGAAATTCCATAATTCTCGAAACAATGGAAGGAAAAGTATTTTCGGTAATGATTATTTCAGATCAAGCTTTGAACTTCCTTCTTGCATTCATTTGTATCCAAAATGAATAAATCATTCTCTTTCTTACAAACATCATCCATCCTTTTTATGGAAAAAATAATGAAAGAGAAAAATAGAAATATTTTCATTTCCAAGAAATTTATTTCAGCAATTTTGTGAAACACAAATTTGTAAACACATTTAAAAAAGAAAACATTCTTGATATTCCTGTAATTGTTTTCCCTTTAATTAATAGCTCGGCTTAACTAATAAGTTCAAACTATATTTTTTCAGAAAATTTCTCCTATCACGCAAGGTTAAATGGCGAACTAGTCCTTCGATTGCAAAACCGTATATGTTATGGGCGGTTGTTATGTATATAGGAGTAAATTCTGTCCACTGTCTCCTTTTGATCTTGCTTATTGTAAATTCTGTTCAACTTAAACCAGTTCACGTAAAGTTAAGTAGGCATGGAAGTTCGATTGCAAAACCGTATATGTTATGGGCGATTGGCGGCTTTATTTATCGACATGTATTGATCAGGCTACTTGCTGCACTTCGGTGAAGTCTAAGAAAGATTTGTTGGCTATGGAAGAATCTTTGATATAACCCAGATTGAAAAGTTGGAAGCCACGGGCTCGGCTCTATCATTTTCATCCTGTATTCTTTCCGCTTTCTCATCGCAAAACTAAGCTGGGTGCAAATATTTCGAAACAAAGTTTCGCTCGTTTCGTGAGGAGAAAGAGAAAGAAAAAAGGGGACAAAAGTAAAGGATTTTTCATGAGGTTACAGTTATTGTGACAAGAGCTGAAATGAAAGAAAGTAGCACAAATTGGTATGAGATACCAGGGAATGTTGATATTCGAAAACACTTCTCGGTCAGAGATGGAGAAAGTATATGAACATAGTGAAACATAAAATATGACGTGAAAAGAGTGAAAGTAAGTGGGGAGTGAAAGTAAATGAATGATCATATGGAAGAGATGGATGCGGGAGATAATGAGAAAAGAGTAAGAGTAAAGAGAAAGAGTAATTCCTTATAGAGGAAAATTAATGAGGAAAGAGTAAAGAGAAAGAGTAATCTCTTACAGATTAAAGGTTGGAGTGGGATTTGTGGAGAAGGACGGAGAAATGTGTTCTTTCTGTTCTCGAAATCTTTTGTTGGAGAGAAAAGGAGGGAGGGGATGTCTGCGGCACTATCTGACTAGTGGTAGCGACTGCGAACTGGTTGTATTTTGCGGGTGTTAGGAACAGTCTTCTTTCTGGCGACAAGAGAGTAGACAGAATGGGTAGGTAACTATGACTATAGAAGGCAGGTGGAATGATGGATGATTGGATTCTGACGATGCTAATTTTGCGATTTTAACAGTATATCTCAGTTATCACTTATATTTACAGTAATGATGAACAACCCTGAACTTGCTGTTACTTTGCGCAGTCTGATTGAAAACGAGATTCCGGATGGCCGAGGGAATCCGGAAAGCAATTGTTCAAACTTGGGACGCGTCGCTGCTTACTGTAAAGTCAGTTATGTGCAGGTACTCTTGCTTGTATGTGCAATACATTTAGTATCCTTGATCTTGGTCTCCTGACTTTAAACAAACCTTCAGACAAGTCGAATTATTTGGGACGAAATGCATAACAATTAGATCGTCGAAAGCATCTTTTGTATCCATGAAATAGTCCACATAACTTAAAGTTCGCATTTATCAAAAAATGTGGAAATGATTTGAAGACTTTTTTCTGCAGAATAATGAATAGCATGTCGTAGATCACGCCCTTTCGTGTCGGGCAGGATGCCCTTTCGAAAGGCCAGTTTTTTTTTTTTCGAGTACTCAAGTTGTAAGCAAGCTTGAAAGAAATTTGGACGACTATTATACGCAAATAAAATTTCTTCTTTTAATCGTGATCTGTGAAACACCTTAGATCAGTGTTTTCTTTTCAGGCACAAGATAAAAAAGCTACATTTGATGAAACAAGACGATATATAATGCAAAGTCTCGCTAGTGTAGCGTATCAAATGGATACCTTGTCTTATGTTCTGCTGCGTGCACTCGATTTGCAGTTTGGTAAAATCAGTAGCATGGCGTCGCAGGTACATTTTTTGCTCATAATCTGAAACGTCCAGAAAACCAGCATGTTCATTGCTCTCTGAGTACTTAGCTTGATATTTTTCAAGTGTGCAGTAAGCGATCTCTTCAGAATTCCGCTACATCTTTTTACATACGATAAAATGAATGGGAAGGTCACTTCATCCACTTGCAAATTCTCTCCACTTCGATCATCTAGATTTGAGTTAATAATTATTGACTATAAAACAATTCAACTATCAAACGCAGTTTTTTGCGCTTTTCCCAGTGCTTGTTAAAATGTACTGTGTTAAAATGTACGTTACCAACGTACTCCAATCGATTATTCCGTACTGGATGATTTGCAACATGGTGTTAAAACTCCTGAGCTAGCGAATCGGTCAGTTGTAACACGGGTAGCCTCAACTCCATGTCATGGAAACACTAGTCCATATTATCCAATCTTCCCTAATTTTGAACAATTGCTCTCTAAAGCAAATATCACTGCCACGGTATTTTTTCGGTTTTTCATAACGTTAAAGTGAGTTTGATTTTTTGACTGCCAAAGTGATTAGCAAATATACCTTATAGCTATTCGGGCAGTCACTTTTCTCACCAAGCGCTATATTGGTCAATCTTTTGTTTTGCAAGTCTGTATAACAGCCAGCAGTAATGAATTGAATGCTTATCATTCATTATGTTTGGAAACGAAACATTCTTGCTTCAGATTCAGTACCAAATAAATTTCGACAGAATGGTTTTCCATCTGTTTCACTGTATTAAACTTAATGGAGTGGATGATATACGTAATTAGTAAGGAGTGGCTAAATTGATGTGCAGTTGGCTGATCACCTTTTATTTCAGCTTTCCCGCTCGTCGACAATGTTTGCCGATCACTATCGTACGCCGCAAATAGCTACTACTCCAGTCATAAATCTTCAAAGGTTTTCTACTGTTACACATGGAAGCCAGAACAACAATAATATTCCAAATAAGTCGAATTATGATACTATAAGCAGGAAAAGTGATTCGCAGCAATCAATGTCTCTTCCTCTTCCTCAGTTGGCATCGGTAGCTCAGTACAGGTTATCAGCGAATAATTTAGGTACGTTTTTGGCGTTAATATGAATTAAAGTGAATAGGACCAACTTTTCGGTTTATTGATTTTGCCATTTAATTTTGCTTTATCATTTTCCTCTGTCTTCTTACTTTAGATGGACTTCCACCACTGCCTATCTCTGTAATGATGGACGATGAACCACTGCCACCGTCTCCGATGCAAGCTGCGATGACACCAATTTATGAGTCAACATTGTCGGACATTTTGGACAGAAGAACGGTTTCTCATCGGTATGATTCCTCATATGCATACGCAGATGCTCTGCTTAGGTGAAATTCATCTTGCATTCCGAACAGAAGAACGGTTTCTCACCGGTATGATTCATCATACGTGTATGTAGATGCGATGTCTAGGTGAAATTCATCTTGCATTCCGAACAAGAGGACGGTTTCTCACCGGTATGAATTCTCATATGTGTCATATGTGTACTCGATGGCGCAGCGAAATCTTTCTTGCATATTTCGCATTTGAACTGCTTTCCACCTGTGTGAGTCGTATGTTCTTTCAGTCTTGACATTTCCTTTTGATACATCCCACATCAGAATCTCTTCTTCTTTCTCCCTATACTTGTTTGTTCCTCACCGGCTTCTTGAATTGGTAAGTTCAATGGCCTTGCGTCATTCTCATCAGTTTCGCTGAGTTCTACTTGTTCCCCGCTCACTTCTGGTACTGATACATCTGATGGTTCAATCCGTTTTCCGCTCACTCTTGATATTGATAAATCCAACGGCTCTGTTTGTGGTCCCTCAAATTATATAAAATTAACGATCTTAAGTTGCGCTAAAGTTTTTATATATTTCATCTCTACTTCTACTTTAAATGAACTTACGGTAGCCTGAGTATTACTCAGTTGGAAGGGGAAGAAGATGAAACAGATGAAATGCATTTTGATGAGAGTAATTTCTTGCCAATTTGGAAAAGATTCAAATCTAGTAGTATACTGAATGGCTGCATATAAGAAACACCATTTGCTGTTTGACAATTATTGTATGTATAATACAAACATCTCTCATTCAAGCGTCAAACGTAGCAACTTATCTTAGAGTGTTTGCTTTGGACACTCATATCGTGAATTCATTTAAGGTAGGTGTAGGATGAAATAAAGACTTTAGCGCAGCTTAAAATTGCTAATTTTATATAATTTGAGGG